GAATTATTTAATAAATTTAATCGTAAATTTTTTTATATAATTTTAAAATATATAAAAGTTATAATTTCTTTATAAACTCTTCTAATTATATTACTTATTTATTTTACAATAGTGTATTTTCGGAACCCGTCACAAAATATTTTAATAAAAAAGATTTTTTTTTAAAAATAAAATAAAATATAATTGACATATTCTCTAGGACATAATTTTGATTGTTACATTATCTAAACATAAAAGATTAACACTAAATAGTATATAATTAATTTTATTTTTTAGACTAAATCTTTATTTTAATCCTTAAAATAGTTTGAATTTAACATTTTAGTCTTAAAAAAATTTAAAATGTTACGTTAGTCTCTAACTTCCTTCTCTATCATTTATTTTAGTTCCTAATTTCAAACTTCATTAAGAAACAGTAACAAAAAACTGACTTGTAATATTAAGTATCATGTCAGAAGTCTAATTAGTAGAAACGATATTTTTGAAAGGCTAAGTATATTGCAAAATCTCATCCAAATTTATCTTTGAAGTTGTGTTTGGTGGTAAAATATTTATATATTGAAGTTTGTTATAGTAGAAAAGTAAAATCAGATGAAAAATTTGGTAATTTTTTTTAATCATCTTGTGAGTCATTTTCTATTTTGGAGACAACAAACTCTAACTGTACACTTTTTGAAGACAACAAACAACTTATAATATATTCATTTCTAGCATATTAGCCTTTAGCTTAGGAATACTTTTCAAGTAATTGGACAATTTTTTTATTTTATTCTTGTATTCAGAAACTGCAGAATCTTGCTTTTACAAATCAATTTTCAATTATTCAATCTCTGAGTTCTTTTCATTTAGAAGACCTTTTACATTGTCTTTATCTTGAACAATCCCTTTTTTTTTTTTTAACTCATGGACAATTTAGCCCTAACCATGACTGTCTTCTCCCCTGATCATTCAAGATCCTGCAGCAGAGAATTTCTTTTTTCATTCAGTGCTACAATTTTTTCAAATATCATTTTCAATTTAGTTGATAGCCAAGAATCCTAATAATGGAAAATTAGAGGCGCATAACCCTAACACCACCCAAACAACATCGTTTCTGCCAAATAGACTTTCAAAACAATGTCGTTTCTATCAAATAAGCTCTTGACATAGTACTTAACGTGATAACTCAATTTTCTGTTATTGTTTTTTAATGGAGTATGAGACCAAAGATTAAAATGAATAATGGAAAAAAAAGTTAGAAACATTTTAAATTTTTTAAGGACTAAAATGTTAGACTCAAATTCTCTCAAAAACTAAATTGAGGGTTTAGTATATTTTTTACTCATTACATTTTATCATTTTGACATCTATACATATTAAAAATATTATATTATCTTATTTAATGTTCAAAAAAACATTTTCTTGCTTTTGCACTTTATCATTTTAATTCTTACAATAAATTTACATATATTATTTATTAAAAAGAATTTACTATCACTTTCACATGTTGATGACTATTTTTTATATAATTTTTTTTAATTTAAATTTAATTAATAAAACATTAGATTAATTCTCACTTTAATATTTAAAATATGCAATTTCATTAAAGTTAGTCTTCAAAATTTTAAATTTTAATTCATAAAATTAACAATTATCAATCATATTAGTTATTATCGTTAAAAATGTTAAATTAATAAAGTGATAATTTATCACGTTAAATAACATTTGAGATACAAAATAACATTATTTTACAGTAAAGTTGGGCAAAAAATCTAGTTATGTAAGTTCAATTTATAACTAATATTAAAATGATTTTATAAAACTAGATTTATATTAAACTGATTTTTTAATTCACCATTTTTTTGTAACCAATTTAATATTTTCAATCCACTTTTTAAATTTACTTTATATCCTAACTTATTAGACTTTTGGTGTATATGTTATGACTAATATTTTTTTACATTTTACAAAAATTTACAACTAATATTTTACAAAATTTATTCATAACTACATTTTATAATTAATATTTTTTCTTAACTTTAATTCTTATAATTAAGACTAAATATTTAAAATAATAATTTTTAATAATCTTCTTTCTTTTTTTTGGTAGTTGCTACAATGACATTCTTTTTTTCTGGTTTGCCCTCTGCGATAGCTTTATTCTCCTTTTTTCTTTTCTTGCAATTCTTCATTTTGTTCAATCCAATTTGTTATTTTTTTATATTTGAAACACAACTCTAACAAGCTCAAATTCCAATCAACTTAAGTCTTATTCTTCAACTTTCTCTCTCCACTGTCACACTCGTCAAAATCATCTTTAAATCTAACATCTCTGCTAACTCAATATTTCATACTCCTTCATACTCCATCACCCCGTTGACCCGTCCAATGCTGTTGGGCTAAAATCTTCTCAAGCTTTGAGAAAACCAGTCTCCATTGTACCTATTTCCTCTTCTAATATGTGTTGTAGACCTCCACAGAAATTTCAAGGCTTTGAGGTGTGAAAGTTAGGTGGACAAATTTTGGTCTGTTTGGGATAAGGAAAATTTTCCAAGTTAAAATCATCTTGAAGGAAACTACATTTCAAAAAGTTTCGAGAGTCAAGAAGGAGCCAAAGATAAGCTGAACATAAGAGAATATTGGAAGATTATCTAAGATCTTTAGTTTTAATTAAAAGGGACACATTTCGAGCTATTTTAGGAGATTTTTGTCACATTGTTGATTTTTCTCTAAACTGCTTGAAAGACAAGAAAATATTCTAAGACCACAAAACTAAAGACTTTTTTTTTATAGAAGTTTTGAGGAGTTTTTAAGTCACTGACACCTAAAACTACTCGAAAAACAGGACTAACAGGAAAATATTCTAAGTCCACAAAAACTGATGGCTTTTCGAGGAGTTTTTTAGGAGTTTCCAAGTACCTGATACCCAAAACTGCTCAAAAAACACGAAGTGACAAGAAAATATTCTAAGTCCACAAACCTGGTCGAGCTCCAGAGTCCCTCCAGAATTGCTCAAAAAATAGAAATGAGCAAAGAAAATGTTCTGAGTCCACAAGACCAAGACAGACTCTCAAAACTCCAGAATGGCTCGAAAAGAGAAGTCAAGAAGAAACTATTATAAGGCCATAACATTAAAGGAGCATCTTAGGGTTCTCCCAGAAATACTCGAAAAATAGAAAAAACACGAGTCTTGATAGGTCAAGTCATTGAAAAAAATCCAAAAGCAGTTACGAGTAGTTATCAACATTCACCACTACGCAAAGGAGATCGTGGGCGATAGCAGTTACGAAAAAAGCCCTAACCAACAACACGATCACAAGCAATCGTGGATAATGGGCATCAACAGTTGAAGGTAGTTACTAAGAAGTGCCCGCAAAAGGAGGAGAACGGTGGTGGTTTTCATGACTATAAATACTCCAAAACACCATTGTACAGGGGACGACTTTTTGCACCCAGACACCGCACCTAAACACTCTGAGACGCTGAAACCCTGCACCGCGCCAGACACCAGCTACTAGGAGACCCACAGTGGCCGTTGTTCGCCGTTGTGAGGAGTCGTACGTTTACATTCCAGCACCTTTACATTCCCGCATTTACCTTTCTACATTTTAATTTCAGTGCTTGTTGCTTGTATCTTTGTACACTATTTGTTTCCTGTTTACTACATTTTTGTAAAAGTATCTACGTTTGATTCAATTCTGCCTATTTATTATTCATTATGCTTGCTTAATACTCTTTTATGCCGTTAATTTGAGCATCACGTTAACAACACACTTAAAAGAACCTAAAGAGGACCTAAATCCAGTCCCTAGATTGATCTTTGGATTATTTGTTTACAATTGTCATTTTTCACCGTAAACATATGAGTTTTGCTGTATAAAAGTCTTTGTAAAGTTGAAAGATGGGAAGAAGACATCGTAAGAGAAGATAAAATAATAATCTTTTGTTGTTCAAAAGTTTGGAAAGTTAAAAGATGAAAATGACTTATTTTTAAAATATTTTAAAATAATAATATTTTTTATTTAAAATAAAATATCACGTTAATTAATTTAATAAATTGTTATTTTATTACTTAATTTTAATATCTTTTAAAGATAAAAATTAATGTAATTAATAATTATTAATTTTAAAGATTAAAATTTTTAATTTTAAATTTAATAAATTAATTTTGAAAACAGTATATTATTTCTGCATAAATGTTTATGCAAAAGTAAAATTAAACCTGCCATATTTATTGTGGTGTATGATGAATGCGTATTCAGTCCTATAATTAGACGGTTCAGTCAATTTATTTTGTATTCTTGTTTAATTAAAAATATAAAATTTTGTTTTACCGAACTATCCACTTTCCATAAAAATGGCATTGTATCCGGATTTGTGTATAATTTTTGCTTAAGCAAGATTGTAAAATAAATTATCTGAATTTCTTGAAAAACGAAATCATAGGCACGTAGGTTCGGGGCGAGACCGATTACTTAAGGAGCACTGCACTCCCACAAAAACGGCACTGTATCCGGATCCGTGTACGATCTTTCACGCTTCTAAATTTTAAAGATTATTTTAAATTTAATAAATTAATTTAAAAACACAGTATATTATTTCTGCGTAAATGTTTCTTAAATATGCAAAAGTAAAAATAAACCTGCCATATTTATTGTGGTGTATTATGATCTTTCACGCTTCTTATCTCATCGCATTATTCATTGTACCGTCAAACACAAGCTGCGGACACAAGCCAGAAAATATCACGTTTTATTATTTCTTTTGAGACACGTGATATTAATTTTATATTAAGTATTAACTTTCTCATTCATCGTACACTGAGATGCCTTTTTATATAAAAATAATGCCTTTTGAGTTGACTGAACGTGCAGCCACGATAAAAGCAGTAAGTCAAAGGGTTCTTATCCTTTCTATCCGTTGAGCTTATGGGTTGATCTTAAAATAAAAACAAAATAACTGGTTCTTTCGTTTTAAGCTTAATACTCAGTGCTTTATTTGTACATTTTGCGTTATAGGCACAACCATGGAGGTCAAAAGTGCAAACCAACCAGAGGCAAGCACTGATTCCAATTATGACAGAAAAGCAGAAATAAAAGCCTTTGATGAGTCAAAAACTGGTGTTAAGGGTCTTGTAGATTCTGGGGTGAAAAGGATCCCACGCATGTTTCATTCTGGCATTTCCATAACTGAAAACTCAGCCAGTGACTCTAAGTTCAGTGTTCCCGTCGTAGACCTCAAAGACATATATAACAATTATGTTAGGCATGAAGAAGTTGTCAACACAATCAGAAGTGCATGCCACAACTGGGGATTTTTCCAAGTGATCAATCATGGAATTTCAATCAGTGTTATGGATGAGATGATTGATGGAATCCGTAGGTTTCATGAACAAGATGCTGATGTAAGGAAACAATTTTACACAAGGGATTTGAAAAATAGAGTTCTGTATCATTCCAACACTAGCCTTTACCGAGACAAATTTGCTAACTGGAGAGATACAGTTGGGTGCCCTATGGCTCTTGATCCACCCAAAGCAGAGGAATTGCCTGCAGTATTCCGGTAATGCATTAAGTAACACAATTTTTAGATTTTACACTTATAGAAAGTTTTGATAAATTAGCAAAAAAAATAGTTCTTTTTTAGAATACACTTCCTCCATGATTTCAATGTAATCCATTATGATTTTTAAGAATTTCTATTTATTTATTTCATAATTAGTATTTAAAGAATTGTTTGAAAATGAATATTGAAGAGGAAAAGCAGAGAAAACAAAATCTCTATTTTAATTTGATAATAATACAAAATAAGAGATTAACAAATTTAAAAATAAAAATTTATCATCTCCTCCTATTTTATATTATTATTATTATTATTATTTTGTGAAAAATCTCCTCTCAAACACTCTATCTAGGTTCACAAAAATGTAGTTTATTTTTGCATATCTAGGTGCTTGCCTATTATATGTTACAAGGAGAAAATTTATTCAAGTTAACTTAAGATATATAATTATAAATTTCATATTTCATATAAGGTTTTTCAAGTATTGGTCACTTGTGCATGCTAGTTTCAAAATTAATTTAAACTATTTGAATTATAAATGAATTCTTTATTCTCTTACAGAGACATTATTGTTGAATATTCGGAGAAAATAATGGGTCTGGGTTGTACAATTTTTGAGTTAATGTCAGAGGCTCTTGGCCTTATTCCATCTTGCCTCAAAGAATTGAGCTGCGCTGAAGGGCTTTTCATTCAGGGTCATTACTATCCACCATGCCCTGAACCCAAATTAACTATGGGCACATCGAAGCACACTGATGCCAGCATCATGACAATACTTCTACAAGACCAATTGGGTGGTCTTCAGGTTCTTCATCAGAATCAATGGTATAATGTTCCTCCTGTGCACGGAGCTCTTGTAGTAAATGTTGGAGATCTTCTACAAGTAAGTGTTATAATGGTTATTTTAAGTGTTTTCAATAGTTTATACTGTTAGCCAAAGTGTTTTAAGATTGCTTTAATGATTGGATTATAAAAGTCAAATCTGGTGAGATGATTTTATGGTTTGGGTTAGGCCTTCAATTATGTTTGTTGAAAGATGTAAACACTGGTTTGAATTTGGTTAAACTATAATTTATGATTTGTACAAAGGAAAATATAATTTTTGTTTCTATTCTCAACTTGTTTTTCTCAAGTCTCTGTAAAAAAAAAAAAATACATTTTGATTCATTATAAATTGCCCAAAAAACTATCATTTGCATCCTTGCGTTCCTTGAATTATCATAGTAAATTGCAAAGACATAATCTAAGGTGGCCCAAAACATCAAATTATGTAAACCTAACTTTTATATTGATGCTTTTATAGGATCGATGTTGACTAGGGATTAACATGTGATAGCCAAAATAAAGTTACACAGTTCTTCTTTGATACGGTTTGTGAGGAGTATATTTCTTAATTTCCTTGCTATTGTTGCAGCTTATGACAAATGACATTTTTGTGAGTGTTTATCACCGGGTCTTAACAAGTCATAAAGGGCCAAGAGTTTCAGTAGCTAGCTTCTTTAATGGTCAAGCTAAAGAAGGTTTATCAAAGGTTTATGGTCCAATAAAAGAATTGTTATCAGATGAAAACCCACCACTGTATAGGGACACTACCGGAGCAGATTTTATGGCACACCATTTGGCTAAGGGGCTTGATGGGAACTCTGCCTTGCAGCCTTTCAGGTTGTGAAATGAACAACTTTCGAATTAAAATGGAACTTGAAAAAATTGATGCACTCTTGATTCTCATGAAGCTGGTTGTAATGCATTCTAACTTTGTGCCTTTTACTTGTATTAATTTTCCAACGAGTTATGTTTGTAAGGCAGCAGCATCAAGTCCTGCAGACAGAATAAGATAAATTAATTTAGTAGTTCACATTCAGTGTGCATATGTAAATTTAGTTTAAATGAATTTCATTTTATAGAATTAATTTTAATTAGAAGCTAGTTTTGATTTATGTTTGGAAACTTTTATTATAAAAATAAGTTTATAATAAAATTTATGCAAATATATATATATTTTTAAATATATTTATATGATGTCAAAAATATAAAAAAATAATTTTTTAAGTGAAATTATTATAATAAAAATATTTTTAAAAAATTAATTTAAATTTTTATAATTATCTTTAAAATAATATAGTTATTTTTTATTTTTTTTATTTACCTCAATATATTAATTTTTTTTCTTATTTCAATTCATCTAAGTATCAAGTATTTTTATTTTTATTTTTATTTCTACTTTATTGTTTTTACTTTGAGGAGAATTCTACGGTACCCTTTCCTTGTTAAGAGGGTTCAATACCCTCTTTAAATCTATTAAATTTAAATTTACATTTAAAGGATTTAAAAACATATATTTACTAATTAATTCTAAATTTTTTATAATTATTATTGCTAAATAATCCTTTAGTTTTTAATTTAAGGTTTCACAAAGAACTTCTCCACTTGACTATCAAGTTTCGAATAAGGAGTTTTCACTAGAATAAAAGGGAGAAAAGCAAAGCCTATGAAGAAACGAATCTGAGGTCATCTGATCTTTAGAGATTAGACAAACTCATTTCTTATGAATTCTTTTCATTTTATTTACATTGAGCACATTGTATTATTCACTGGCTTCTCATAGAATTTGAAGATTCATGAAGAAGATTCTTGTTAGCCCATTTCTTATGCTTCTTCTCATCCCATATACATTTGAAGACATTGTATCATTTACTGGCTTCTCACAAAATTAATTGAAGATTCTAAACCCTATCTTTACCCTCACTTGCAATTTTGAATCATTGTTTATTTTCAGGCTTCTTGCATTTTTCTGGAATGAAGAACCCTAAATCATATGATGCAGAATTGTGATTTTTGTTATAAATTGAAGAAATCTTTGTGTCTTGTTTGTGAATATCTCTTGTTCAAGTAATTTGTAAATATGGGATTTCCATGCACATTTGTAATTTTTCCATGCACATTTGTATTATTACTGGATTTTATACATTAGTTAAATTTCAAATATAATTTTTCCTTAGCATCAATGTATCATCACTATTAGAAAACAGAACTTCATTTTTCTTTAATTTTTTCACAACAGCCACACATATGTATATCAATTCTTTTCTCTATTTTTTCCATTTGGTTATTAATATGAAGCGATCGTCCCCTTCTTGCTTGATTTTAAATTTCTTGCAATTATTTCTTTGAGATTTTGAATTTTCCTCCTGAACAAAATGATATAGAGAAATAAAATAAAATAAAACAATAAAATAAATAAAAGAGTCAATGATATAGATGAGAAATTTGAATATAATTGTGATGTATTCTTATAGTTAAAGGACTTGAGAGATTGTTAAAAGACATGTTAAAGAATGACAGAATGGTGAAATGAGTTAATTGTCAAGGAATCTTCCCTTATAAATTGTTGAAAGAAATGTCCAATGATTCAAGATTTGAAAGCTTTCCTAAGGAAGAGAGAATGTTACTTATAAGCATGTTACTTGAATATCCATCACCTAGTTGGACTTAGATGATAGTGTATTGTATTCTCTTAAGAAGTCAAGTGAAAAACTGTGTTGTTTTAAACTTTATGTATAGAGAAATTTTTAAGAAGTTTCAAGTTTCTCACTTGTTATTACTAATAAATAAGTAAAATGTATCCACGTGGATATCCAACATGTTGAACCTGGATAATTTTGAGTTACCCTTCTCTTCTTTTTCATCTCACTCTTTTTTCAACTCCAAGAAATTAGAAGAATTGATGCTGAAGATGGGATTGTTGTGATATTAGAGACCCTGCCTCCTTTGTCCATTTTGGACACCTAAAACTCCTACAGTTTGTGTGGAATTGTATTTACAGTTAACTCTTTTGTGGCTCAGAATATCTGACCTTTTGTTTACCAATTACACTCGGTTTAAGTGTAAAAGTTAGTGTTTTAAAAGTGCCTCTATTTGAAAGTGTTGTCATTAAGTAAGACAAAATTCAGTTTTAGTGGTTATGGTTATATATCCAATTAGGTAATTAAGCACCTTTAAACCTTTTTTGTAACACTAAATATGCTGATGTCAAGCTTGTTATACTGTACAACAAGACTAAATCATACTGTTAATTTGCATCAATATAGAACCTATTTTGAATTTATATTTTTCTACATAAATCTGTAATCAATTTTAGCATATAAAATATATTTTTTTATTTTAAAAGTTGATTACATTACTAAAATAAAATGTTGGATTGATGTTGTGGCATGCAAATTCATATAGCCAGATCTATATCTACACTTGTATACATAAGCTAGGGGAAATATGTTGAATGTAATAATATAAATTAGTTTCTTTATTTGCCAGCCAAGTACTGGCACAAGCAAAAGTGGCTAATCTAGTTTTCAAGGTTCGTAGGTAATAAATGAAACTAGCAACTCTACTCTGGTTGCATTATATTGGTAGAAGCTGCATATCATATCATTTACCAAGTCTTGGATAGTCTTAATTGTGAGAAGTCTAATTTTCTCTAACCTTTTTTACATTATATTATAACCAACACAATCATAATACCTAGTATTTTTTGCTCGTTACTAAAAGGTTTTCTTTTTATAGTGGTTGCAAGAAGAAACAAGTTGTTTATTGATATTGGTACATCACATTGAGTACTTATGTAATTAGGTTAAATTACTTTAAGTGACAAAGTTAACCCTAATTAAGTTAGAACAGCCCTCCACTATTGATTGTACTTTGAAAGAACAACTAATTATCTTCCATGATATATGATTGATAACAGACAAGATGTTTTCCTATAGAAAAATAAACAGTTGAGAAAAAAAGGAGGATTTAAGAAATTACAAACATTCAAGTCTTTAAGCTAATGACAGTCAATTACGGCCAGTAAACAAAGTTTGATTTCATTTTTGAGAGAAACTGAACTTTTCAGGCTTGTCAATAGCAAAATATTAACTCTTGTTTTGCAACTAATATATAAAGACTAAAACAGTTTCTTTTTTAAGGCACGTACAAGTATATATTTTCAGAAATTAATAAATAATAAAATTTTATTGAATATTATAATACTTAATATTATCAATATATTTTTAATAAAGAAACATTATATATAAATTTTTGTATATGTATTTAATTACACTTTAAAAAATTTAAATTTAAAATCAAAATCAAAAGATGATAGTAAAAAGGTAAAGAAAAGGAGAGTAAATAAAAACAACGAACAAAGGACACATTGAACAACAGCTCAAGAAGAATAAAACAACATAAAATGGTAGATAGAAAAACAAGAAAAGGGCATAGATGAAAGAAGTGGTGTGAGGGAGACAGGCAAATTTATGTTACATGCTCTTACCCATTCGTGTAGTCTGATTCAATTGAGCACATTTTGAGGACCTATACATAATCATGTTATCATGATATTTTCAAATAATTTAACCAATAATTTAAAAATTTTGCTAACATGTTGAACACTTTTGAACTAATTAGATGCAAGTTGACATTATTTTATGATTACTGGTAGATCCTTAGGGTATTACGAACAACATATTGTTATAGACATTATTTGTGTTTTGCTATATATATATAAAATATATGCATTTTTAAGTTCTCATTTGTAAATATTGTTCTCTTTCTTTATGTGTTGGTCTAATTCAATTTATTTGTTTTGATTTTGAATCATAATATGTTGTACTATTGTAACCAATATCTTTGCAGATTATTAAAAATAACAAATAATGATGAAGATTGTATTAATTTGTATGATGAACTAAATTTGAATTTGACAGGGTTTACTAACAATAATGGTCGTCAGAATAGTGAAGGAAAATATGTTGTTGAAATTGATAATAGTGTGAAGAACATTAAAGTTAGCAATGAAATTGAAGATGAGATTTATAAAAAAACTAAACGAGTTGACAGCTAAAGATATATTTGGTCTTGAATTTTCATCTGAGTTTGAAGCATGTGAATTTTATCAAAATTATGCAAAATGTCATGGATTTGTGGTTAGAAAGGATGATATTGATCGTGATGCTATAGGAAATATTATCATGCGATAGTTGGTTTGCAATAAAGAGGACTTACGGGGTAAAAAACACATCGAGAGAGTGGATCGAGTTAGAAAATACAAACCTGTGACTCGAACCAATTGTAAAGCTAAGTTTCGAGTTCACCTAGATTATAAGACTTAAATGTGAAAGGTTGTGGATTTTGAGGAATCTCATAACCATCAGTTAATTATTGTATATTATGCTCACTTACTGCCTGGAAATCATATGTTGAGTGATGCAGATAAGGCACAAGTTGATAGTTTGTATTTATATAGAGTAAGAACAAGTCATATTATGGGTCTAATGTTAGGTCAAAAAGGTGGATACTCTGAGCTTGGTTTTACCAAGAAAGATTTATATAACCACTTAGATAACTAAAAACGTGCTAAAATAGAAGATGGAGATGCTTTTGCTTTATTGTGTTACTTGCAAGCAAAGGCAAATAATGACCTATGTTATTTTCCAAATTCACTACCACAGGTGATAGGAGGTTTCAACATTTGTAGTGGTCAGATGGCCCAAGTCGACTTGACTATAAATGTTTTGGAGATGTTATTGCATTTGATACGACTTATAAGAAAAACAAGTACAAAAGGCTATTAGTTATTTTTTGTGGGTATAACCATCATGGAGAAACTGTAATATTTGGTTGTACGTTGGTTGCTGATGAGAAAACAGAAACATACAAGTGGATTTTAGAAGCTTTTGTTGAAGCTATGTTTGAT